GTTCTCTCTATATACATATGGAGAGAAGAGAGGCAGAGAACAAGAGCTGAAGACTTTCCAGTACTAGTGAAAGAAAACAACATGAAGAGTCCAGACACACAGTGAAGTCTAGTTACAATGATTTTAAAAGACCCACAAATAAAGACATCTTGGTAAAATTATAGAACATTAAACATAAAAAGAAGCTACCAGGAAAAGTTTCAGTTTTCTGTGTAAAAGGGCAATGAGAGCATATTGCAGGCTTTATGACCATAAATTCATGTTAGATAAAATAGGAAAATTTATTGAAATGCACAAACTGTCAAAACATAACAAAGCATTTGTGATAACAGACCAAATTAAATGGATCATAAAGTACATCTCATGTTCCAACAAGGCAATTAAGTTAGATACCAATAATAAAATTGTAATTAGAGAACATCGACATGCTGGGAAATTAAGAAACCCTCTTCCAAGTTACCCATGGGTCAAGAAAGAAATTCAAAGGAAAGCTAAAAAATATTTTAAATTCAACTTAAAAAAATTCTATCTACTATATATAGAAGGCAGCCATGTTTGTATTTTAAAAGAAAAATGGATACATTCCTTTAAAGTGTACACTGCCTAAATAGACTCAAGAAAAATAGAAGACCCGAACAATCCTATAATCATTAAAGAAGTTAGTGTCCTCAAAAGCAAAAGTCTAAGCCCAGTTGGCCTCTCTAACAATCCTAGCAAACACACAAGAAAGAATTCAAATTCTACAACTATTCCAAATATAAATGGGGGTGAACTACTTTAGAACTCATTTTGTAAGACTACCATCACCTTGATACTCAAACTGGCAAACCCGTGAGAGAAGAAAATAATATGTCGGTATTATCTATGAACATAGACACAAAACACATGAAACAAGAGCAAGTTCAATATGATCACATATAAAACGGGTGTCATAATCTCAGGTATGTTTATCCAAGGAGTACTAAGTTGGTTTAAAACTAAAATGCCAATTAATACAATGTGGTACGTACACTATACTCTTACTTTATTATCAGAGGTCAAGATAGTTTTAGGAAGTGTGAAAACTTAGAAAAAAATTTCAGATTAGCTACAGTTAATATGATTACCCATGGTGAAAATCTCAAGAACCCTCAGATAAGTAATTAGAACTAGTTAGTGGGTTTATCAAGTCTGCTAGACACAAAACTGTAGATGTAAATATTGCGTTAGATACGGTTCTTGTTGCTCTGAAAAAATACCTGATATATTAGCTACTTTTCTGTTGCTGTGATAAAACACCATGACCAAGGCAACTTATAGAAGGAAGAGTTTATTTGACCTTATGATTCAAAGGGTTAGCATCCATACTGATGGGAGAAACATGGAGGTAGTGGTGGCTGGAGTAGAAAGCCAAGCAAGCACATCTTCAAGCAGGCACAGGAAGTAGAGAGATCCAGACTGGAAGTGAGCATGGCTTAGGAATTCTCAAAACCTGCCCCAAGTGGCACGCTTCCTCAGCGAGGCCACACCTCCTAAAACTTCCCAAAATAGCACCACCAATTGGGGACAAAATGTCTAAATACTTGGAGCTTATGGAGGACATTCTCATTCAAACCACCTGACAAAAGCAACTTAAGAAAAGGATTTATTTTGGATCATGGCTTGAGGTGATCTAGTCCATCAGGGCAAGAAAGGCATGGTGGCAGAAGTATGGTGCAGCTGGTCACAGGGATCTGCAGTCAGGAAGTAGAGAACCATGAAAGCTGGTGCTGGCCTTGCTTTTTCCTTTCTACCTTTTTTGGTTGGCTGAGGCCTGTGGAAGGTGCTGTCCAAGTCCAGAATGTGTCTTCCTGCCTCATTTATGCCTCTCTAGGAAACACCTCACAAACACACCCAGAGACATTGTCTTCTGGGTGATTCTAAATCCAGTCAAGTTCACAGTTAAAATTAACTATCACAGATATCAATGGCATTTCTTAGAAACAGAAAAAGTTGAGTTTGGGGCTTGAGAGATAGTTCAGTCAGTAAAACTCTTGCCTTTTGAGCACAAAGACATGAGTTTGATACCTAGAATCTGTTTTTTTTTTTTAAATGGGGCATGAGAGCTTGCACTTATAATCCTGGTACTGGAGAAGTAGAGACAGGCAGATCTTTGGGATCACTGGTCCGTTAGTCTAGCCTATTTGGTGAGATCTGGGCCAATGAGGGACCCTGTCTCAAAAATAAAAATGGTGGACAGAGCCTGAGGAATGACACCCAAGGTGTCCTTTGACCTTAATACACACACACACACACACACACACACACATACACACCCCTAAAGAGTTCTTAAATAGAGTTCTAAAATAAGATTTTTAAAATGCCATTTACAATACCATCAAAAATAAAAGCAGTATGTCTAACTAAAATGTGCAAGGCCTTCATAGAGAAAATAATATCATTTAAAAGATAAATAAATGCTTGTAGAGCTAGAGTTTGCAATGAACTGGTTAACTCAAAATTGTGAAGATGCAATGTCTCCTAAAATTTAGAGACGACACAATACAAATCAAAATTGCAAGAGCATTTAAAAAGATTTTCCCGTGCGTGTGTGTGTGTGTGTGTGTGTGTGTGTGTGTACATAATTCGACAAGCTGTGTTTACAGAGCATGTGGCGGTATTAAGGATAATCTTGAACAATTGAGCCAGGAGTAAAGAATTCATCTAAGTGGTTGTGAAGAATCACTGTATAGTGTGTTCATCAAACAATGGACTACAATTCTAGAATGAAATGACCTGGAGAACATCTATGTGGTTTATGACAGAGCATCACAGGACAGTGAAGAAAGGGCTGACTTTTTAAAAAGAGTGCTGGAGGGACTTAGGGCACAGCTCAGTGGTAATGTGATTGCCCAGCATGAGAGAGAGACAGAGAGAGACAGAGACAGAGACACACAGAGAGAGACAGAGACACAGAGAGAGAGAGAGACAGAGACACAGAGAGAGAGACACAGAGAGAGAAATATCACTGGGACAACTGGCTGTCCATAAAGAAAACAAACTAAGTTTGCTCTCTGCTTATAAGCTTGTATAAAAATTAATTCTAATGAATTAAAGTCTCAAGGGAGAAAGCTAACTATGACATTTTTATTGCAAATACATAAATAAGAAATAATATGTAACTGTTAGAGAATACTTTTAGGTAAGATGTAAAGCCCAAATCACAAATAAAAAATAGTATCAACTGTATTAAAATGAAATGCTTCTGAATCAAGTGGGCCTTATGATGTACATCTGTATTCCCAGAACTCTGGTAAGGCAGGGTAAGGTGGTAAGGCAGGAGGCTCTTGGAATCCCAGCAGGCCTGAGCTAAACAGCAAGACCCGGCCTCAAAGGAAAAATAACACTAAAGCATTAAAGATAAAAGTAAATCCTTAAAGAAAAAGTAGGTCGTGATTAACACAGAAGCCAGGATAATTTTCCCAGAAGGAAGAGGAGCCTTAGGACTTTACATGTAATGATAAATACTTTTTCTTAAA